GGAAATAAAGAGTTTTCCAATGGGAAGTGTTATTTTCAACAGCCTGCTTATCCGGTGGATGTCACATCTTCACTGTAATTTTTTGACATTTGACAAGTAAACAACTACGACAGTAAAAACTACGACAGTAAAAAACACTATGGAGATTCACAAATGTGGAAATCGCCATTTTGTTTGTTTACATTTAGAGAACAGCTGAGATCATCTGATTTCTATATCATTTTCGTTATTTCATTTTCTTCGACATTTCGTGTTTCAATTTCCCTTATTCCATCATTATACGTTATCAGATGCTTTACTCTTCTTTCTTGATCACACATTTGTTTATTCGATGAATTCTTCATTGTTTCTTCTTTCAATTCAATGGTGTCCGACTCATTTAGTTCGCTTTTCAACTTAGCTGCAGCTCAAGAACAACTGAGAATATTGCTGTTTTGCTACTTTGAGCTACAAGTTTTGAAGAATTCCTGGTTGTTCTTTAGAGTTGGGCATTCCACAAACGTCATTCCACCACATTTTGCATAAAGACTTGAGTCTTAAGGCTTATAAAGTTTAATTAATACTAAAATTCAAGCCAGCCGATTATCAACCACGTCGAGTCGTGGCTAACTGGGTTCTTGATATCCATAAAAATTATCCGAAAATTCATATTGACTTATGAGACCCGTTTGCACCTCGATGGCCTCGTCAATAAGAAAAACTTTTGCTTTTGGGGCATGGAAAACCCAAAATTTATTTAATCAAAAAGTCTCTCCGTACGAATTGTTTGGTGCTTTTGGTAGTCAGGCGGGTTCATTGGACCTTACTTTTCATACTTTCTTCTAAAATGAGCGTGGAACAACTGTAACGGTGAATAGATTGTGCTCTTCAAACAATTGATGATTTTTTATGGCTGGAATCGGATGGTATTAATCTGGACAACGTTGATTTTCAACAAGACGAAGCTATGTGCCACACAAGCAAACGAAGATAGCGATCTCTTAAGGAGAAAGTTTCCAGACCGTATTATTTCTGCACAGGTGATTGCAATAGGCCACCGAGTCCTTGTAATTTTACACCTTGCAACTTCTTCCTTTAGGGCCACGTGAAAGATAAGGTCAAGGCCAACAACCCAACGTCGATTTAAGACCTCAAATATGAAGTTGGTGAAGCGCTTGAGAGCATACCAGCAGCAGCCACTTTACGTTTTGATGATCGAAAATTTCATAAAAAGCTAACGGTACTGTTATTACAGCGCTGATAGCCATTTGGCTGATACTGTTTTCCATTATTAATGACATATCGTTCTCTTTACATTGCAATAAACATCTAACCGTTTATCTCAAAAAATAATAAATAATTTTTCTTTGAATATCAAATTGGAAAACCCTGTAAATAATTATATTTTATTCATTTTTATTTTCCCTTTAAATTTTTGGAATAAATTAACTTTCGGAATTAATTAACATTTAAATTAAGAAAAAAATATATTTTTTTACATTAAATTCAAGGTTTGTAACGGTTTATAGTTAGACAGGAAGCACTTTGAAAAAATAAATTATTTAAACACAATAATTTTGAAATTATTTAATTTTGTTTCTTATTTCAGAATTGCAGAAATGATAATTTTGAAAAGCATTAAAATAAATTTAGCAAAAAGTGTTGAGAGATTTTTTGGAATTTCACTTCATATTAAATTTCCTCTTTTTCAAAGTTTTTGCTTAAATCCCATGAACTCTTGAAAACCCGTATATACTTGTATTATGAATAAACATACATATTTATATATGTAAAAAAAAAAACTAAAAATGCTTTCGCAAGCAATTTCAAGTATATTTTTAAAATATGCCAAATTACATACATACATATACATTTATACAGACTTTTTTTTTTGCCGACAAAGAACTCTTCATTTTGTTTATATCTGCATTGACCTCGCTCCAAAATATTGCTTACTCGCAGATCCCTCATGTGGTTGCGGCAAATGCATTTATACATGCACATGATCTTAGCTACATACATAAGTGCATACAGATGTACTTAATAAATGTATGGCTTTACACAAAAAATATATACTATAAATATTAGCAAGTAAGTTGTGCGATAAACAACGCAAGATCATTGTTGTGGCATGTAACAGGCGGGAGCAAGCAGGATGATCACTCGCAATGCAGCAATTTTCAATTCTTTATACGTGTACATACATACACATATCGGCAGATCGTCTGTGTAGCTCGACGGTTTTAATTCAACAACTGTCAGTAGCAATTCATTTGTACATTTGCCCATACATATGTACCTATACAGACTGGTCAGATGTCAGCTTTGTTTGAAGCGTTTCAGAGTATATTTGCTTTGCTTGTTTAACTTAATTGAAAGCGATCTTTTTTCCATCGTTGGCTTCTGAAATATCAATTTGTCATGTCTCTTTGAACTGACACTTTATTTATGATCACAGATTTATTGCAAAATCTACAGTAACACATTTATGTTGTCGTAATTGAAATTTGAAAAGTTCAAGACATTTTTATTAAAGCAAAAAATTAAGCAAGAACTTTTCAAGGTCGTAATTTCGAAGGAAATTATTTAGTAGCCAAAATTTGGCCATATTTTTCATGGTTTTCAAACTCAGTCGAAGTTCTTTAAGAGGGGGAAGCTGGTTTTCTAATGAGTCCATGGCCGAAGAAGTAAACTCCTTAATTAAATTTTTTAGTCTCTATATAACAACAGCAAGAGACGTACGTAGGATTTTTCCGATATTTTGTTTTTTTTTTTGCACCATTTGCACAAAAAGTTACAATATTCACTATAAAAAACGACATAAAATTGTTGATTAAAAGAAAACTAATAGTAAAACTAAAATTAATATAAAAAAATCCTACGTACGTCTTCGGAGGTATTTTGAATGTACTGTCAAAATTAATTAAGAATCGGTGAAGATTTGTTCGAGTTATGTCTTCGGCCAGTTTGAAAAAAGTGATTTCGAGAAAAACGCTGTTGGTCACCCGGGGCATACCAGTGACGCACTGCCGTCGAAGGAAAAATTTGGGCATTTAGACATTTTTCCCGGTATCCATCTTTTGTTATGTTATTTCAAAGACCCTAATGCACCTTTTAAGACAAAAATTTTTTTTTTCAATTTTTTCAATATTCTATACCAGCTTCCCTAATTAAGTTTAAAATTAAACAGTGTACCAAGAAAAAAATATGTTCAAATACCAATATTTTATTCAATTTTTTTTTACAATTTTACTGAATATTTAAATAATAAAATAATCCAGCAATAAAGCATAATATCAAAAATGTTAAGCTTTACGATAAAGCTGTGTGTTGCCAGATTGCAAAACTAGATTTGTCAAATCCCGCGATATAAGAGACAACCCTGTATTGGCACCACCCAACACCGTTTTAATGAAGTTTTTTTTTTTCAAATAATATGATAATTACCACTTAAGTATTTTTATAACGGTGGCAGAATAGCTTTTTTCAGAAAAAAGTTCCTGAGCAAAGCTTAGCAGGCAGCATCAAATCCACTGCTGGATTGTCTAGTTTCTTTCTTGTTTGCATAATCGGCCAACAACATCTGAAAACTTGTTGTCACCATATGGGAAATCCAAATATAGGTTAACCGGCTTATCATTTATTTCATTGGTCGGAGATGCCACTTACACGTATTATGGTGGCAAAAATAAGTCTTCGACTCTTGATAACTATCGTGCAGCGGAGGAATGAATAATTAGGAGCGAAGGGGAAAGGGAGATATTTCCCTTTTTGACTAGTTTCTTACTAGTGACTAATAAGAAGTAATCTATTATGGTTCTATCGATGGCGTTAGAGAGTTCATATATTGTACTAGAAATTATAATGACAGAAATGATGACCACTGCAAATAGAAAATACTATATTCTACAATTTTCTTTCGATAAAAGTGAAGACGAAAGTCAGGCAGCTGACTTCAGAATCTTCGATTTCGTTTCGGTAATTTCGATGAGCAGCAAATGAAGAAACAACAGGTCATATCCGAATGGATGAAAGCGTTCCAGCTCTGTAAGTATTGGATGCAGTACCCGCTGGGGGAAGCAGAGCAAGAGGAAGACTTTTATTTGGTTGGATGCATCTGGTGGGGAACGACTTGGTATTATTAGATAGATATTAGATATGAATGGCGCGCTAATATTGATTCGGCTATAATCGCTCAAGCGATGCCAACGCCAATAAAGAGGAAAAAGAATTTGGATGTAAAAGATGCTACAAGGTATGGAATCGGTTCTGACCATCATAGGAGCGCAGTTGGGCGGACAGACAAAGAAGATCGATATATGGGTGGCAAATGAGTTGACGAAAAAAAAACTCATGGACTGGTAATTTGTTATGATTACTTACTTGCATTGGCGTGGAATCAACCACTTTGAGATGCTCAAACTCAGATCTGTACAGTACTACACACATCGATAGTAAAACACCTGAAGCTACGAGGGCTTGTTAAGGAGGTTTCTATGCATAGATCAGTTAATTCTGACCATTTAAATGGAACCTACAACTTAATGCAAATATAATGGATTACCTTTTACACTAGACCAATATTAGTTTCAGTGCTAATATTTCAGTTGCTTAACTGACATACCTAAATTGGAGCGTTCGGCGTAGCGTTTTCGAACGCCAATGAGTGGCAACGCGCGCTATACCAAGTCTCGACTGGATTTGGCCCAGTAGTTCAATGTCAATTGTTTTTGCTTTTTTTAAATTTCATGTTTTTCCTCACAAAGAAAAATATTTAGTTTAAATAATTTTTCACACTTCCTTTTTATCACTGCTTCAGTTTTCGCTACATTTCTCATTTTTCAAAATATTTGTTAATAAAAATACCGCCAATGAACCAAACTATCAAAGCCAAAAGAAGCTACCAATTCTGATCCGATTGGCTCAAAACGGCAACGCTGATCACTACTTGAGAGTAGTAGGCAAACGCATGCTCATTATAGGTACGTAATGATGAAAATAGTCTTCACTCTGGTACTCACCTTTTCGGCTGCGTCAATCATAGAGTTAAGTCGAATGCTGTGTTATTTCATTTATATCTTGTATTTATGTACACCCACACTCACACAATAAATATGCTACACAATTTTAATTATAAATATACATATGTATATATGTACAGCATGTATGAACGTACATAAATACAATATAACTCTTAAGGTTTCGCCGACGCTTTGTTTCACTTCAATTTTCAGTACGTTTCTTGTGCTGCAACCGACTTGGCACTCAGATGGCGCATAAAATTCAATAAAGCATATGTAGATATGTCAATTCATTAATCTTTCAATATACATACATATAAATAAGTACAGCGAGTGATAATTGAACGCTTTCTGCTTTTAATGATTGACCTTTTATCGCGTAGTGAATTTACCGCGCCGCTATACAACGTGCATATACTTGTTATAGATACACGCGTATATACATACTCGTATGACAAATATATTATATTTTTTTCTCTCAATCACTTACACTATTTACGTATTTCACGTCCGCACATTTCGTTTCACGTTGTTAACGCTTTGTCTTGCCTTTTCGCACTGTTCGCCGCACCCACCATGCGGCTCATTTCAGCGCTAGTTTCTTCTCGTATTTTTATGCTTTTGGTCAGACAAAGGCGTAACATATATGTACAGATCGCTGTGGGCTGTGGTGCTGAAATCTCACATATATACAAATTTTTTGGATATCATTCGTTCTCTCATTTCATTAGCTTTCTGGCAAACTGTTAGCGGCGTGAGTGTCACAACCTGTTTGCTGCGAGGCGGTGGATCTCTGTTGGTGAGCTACTAAGCGGTTAACATGGGTTGCCAAGCAATTTGTTGTAATAGAAATTTGCCGTATTCTTGACGGGTTTTTAATAATGAAATGTTTAAAAGTTTCCATTTCATCATTGTATGCCTTAAAGCTTTCACTCTTCTTACTCTTCGAGAATTTTTGTGATTTTCACTGAAATTTATTTTATTTATAAAATTTCAAACTTTTATGTCGGTTTTAAAGCAGATTTTGACAGCACGAAAACACCTGACCCTGCAGAGCTTATGTGGCTATAAAAACTTATCTTAAGCAACACTAAAGCTCCGTCTGGATCGAGGAGGACCTCCTCGTGCCATTTGATACCACACGTGGTTTCAGACAGAGAGATTCCTTATCGTGTGCCTACTTAAATTTATTGCTGAAGAAAATAAGAGCTTACAGCTGGCATTATTGGCCTTAGAGATAGTGCCGTGAGATCTGATTTCTCCAAACTGGGTGAGGAAGTGAGACGAATTAGTATCGTAGCGAACAAGGGCAAGATGATATATCTCCTGTCATCAAACAAACATTACAACTAGGCTCCCACGTCACTGTTGGCAGCCAAAACTTTGAAGTCGTAGATAACTTTGTCTATCTTGGAAACAGTATTAACAGCAACAACATTGTCAGCCGGAATACCTCTTGTCAACAGGTGCTACTTTGGACTGAGTAGGCAACTGAAAAGTAAGATTCTCTCTCGACGAACGAAAACCAAACTCTACCAGAAAGACCTTCACTCCGTTGGAATGATCAGGCATTGAAGGACTGTACTTGATACCTTCGATTTCCGCCAAACAGCAAAAAAAATATATGTATGACACAATTTTATTAATTTGGCTGTAATCGGGTAGACACCGCTTACCGAGAGTAAAGAAGAGGAAGATTTTATACCAAAATCAAGGAAAACGAAGATCAGGCAACACAAAAGGTTCCTCATGATAATGTGTTTCGTCTAGCGGCTCAGAACAGATCTTTTTACCTTGAAATTCTCTGCTCTCAGACTTTGTGCAGATTCGCTCTCGTTAGCAAGAAAATAAGGTTTATTTACTCTGCTATGGCCTAATGTTGTGAGAAACCTGTTCAACTCGATTAACGAACTCTCTTATAGAAGAGAGAATATAAATAAGAAAATGACCCTTGACAATATAAACTGGACTCCTTTATTTAAGTGTCTCAACATGCCGGCTTATGATGGCAGACCATTTTAACGACATGGCTGATTCGTCGACCCAATTTGTCAAACACATTTTCGATTGCTTGTCTCTTTATTGTTGCAATGTTTGCACGATCTTCATGTATCAAGTCACGAGACGACTCTGGATGGTTGGCGTAGCACTTGCACTTAACGACTTCCTGCAAAAAAAACTCCAACACCTGCAAATCGAGCTGCGATTTTCGAACACAGACTATCTGAATGTGAAAATGAGCTGATTTGGAAAAAATGATATTTAAAAAATAGAAACTCTAATATTTGCCAAGCGATCTTCAGCCTGTTGGGCGAAGAGCAATATCATCAAATGGACTGGATGCTTCAGTTCTTGGCTCAATTACACTTTATAAGCTCTTAAACGAGGTATTTATGGGCAAAAAAAGTGCGTCACACGTTTAATTTCTGTAAACGGTGTCCAGTTGATTTTGGTGGCTGAACGAACGCGCTTTGAATTACAAAAGAAATATTTTCCCCTAATGGCACTGGTCGTGCACATACGCGAGTGGTTCTGTCTGAAAACGAACCAGCAAACAGCCTGAGAGTTTCCCTTTCTGAGAACCTACATATTTATTTCTGCTCAGATATATATTCAGAGGGGTTTCCTAGCGAAATCTACTCAAGCAAACGCCATGAATGAAGCAAGAAATATTTGAAATATATAAATGCCAAAAAAGTAACATTATTATATTGTACATGCATAACACTTGCCCGCATAGTGAGTACATACATGCACTTTCACATACACATTCACGAACTTGAAATATTTGAATCTCACATTAAAATCTTTCTTTCTCACAAACTTAGTTACTAATAACTAATGTAAAGGCCTAAGTCAATTTAGACTATATTTTCTTCAACACTCATTAAAAGTCATTTATAATATTTTGATAGTTTCAACAATTGGAATAATATAGCATAATCGTGGCTACATTAATGAAGAGAACTACAGTGAAACCCCCTTTAAGCAAACAGTCACCATCGGGAGACTTTTATGCGCCCAATAGAGATGGCTGTTTGAGTGAGTGGGTATCAATTTGAGAATTAAAAAACTGCCACATTATATTGCAAATCAAGGACTTTTATGTACAACTTCAAAGGTTCATTAAAATATAATGCACACAGTAAATAAAAGCTCCTTCAATTTGTTGTATTTGCGTATTAATGTTTTTCCCAGAAATGGAGGGATCTACAGTTTATACTAAGCGGCCTCCAAACGGCTTATGGTTTTTTTTTTTACGAAGAGCCTTTATTTCATGTCAGAAATACACTCGGACGAGTTGACTTTCCCTACTGAGGGGCGACCGCAATTAGAAAATTTAACTTAATTTTTTATTTAAATTAATTTTCTAGAAATTTTTGGATGTTGATGGAAGTATAAAGACTTCGTGTCCGCCCAGCAGGGGTTTCGGTTGGATTTGTTATGAAAAAATAATAATAAACAATTTTGTTCGTTGTAAGAAAATTTTAGACCACTGAGTGGGGGATTATTTGTTCAAGATTACGGTAAACAATTTTCCCAATACAAAAGTTTAGTAGGTTGACAAGAAAAAATAATAATTTTTGTATTTATGAGTCATCTTGTTCTTATTTATCTTTTCTTAAGCCTTATGATCCACTGCTGAAAACAGTCTTCAAAATCTTGCTTTATAAGCTTATCAAGTTGAGCATTAATGGTATTTTCCTTTAATATTTTTTTAATTTTTGGAAAGAACCAGAAATCACAAGGTGCTTTATCCTCGATCCAAGAGATCCCAGTAAAATTACTCGCAATTCAGCAGTGTCGGATGGCGCTTTGTCATGATGTAAAAAGTAAAAAAGCATATCCTTTTCTTCCTGGTTTTCAACAACGTTTTGAAAACTTTTAGTAAGCACTGTTCGGTATACCATTTCGCAGTTACCGTCTTACTCTTTTCCAATTGAATAGCAGCTGCGATTTTAAATCAGGTTTAGTAAACTGACTTCATTACTGCTTCTGATTTTTGTAGTTTAGATTTGAAGGGTGGGTTTGCTCCTGTTGGGTTCCATACCATGCACTGCTGTTAGGTTTCTGGATCGTACTTATAGAACCAAGATTCGTCACCAGTAACGACTTTACCAAAGTTGCTAGACTCACCATTTTCGAATTTGATTAAGAAAATTTGAGCGAAATGCACTCGAGCCTCTTTTGGGTCGTGGTATCATCATCGAGAAGATTATATCGTATATCTCAGATGATTATTTAATATACGCGATTCAAACCCCATTCATTAGCAATTGCTTCTTGTATCAATCGTGGGTCTTCATCAAGTTTGGACTTCAACAGAGCTACAGTGACGTTATCAGTGGAAGATTTTGGTCGACGTACAATCCTCGGAACCACTTAAAAATACTGTTTAAAGACGGTGCTATCGTTCTATATGCAACTTGGCCTTCAATGAATATTTGTATTGGTTCTAAATAACGCCGAAACACGTAGAGAATAAAAAGGCGAATTTCCGTTTGCGTTGGTGATGGAATTTCGTGTGACCTGTACTCAGCTAACTTGCGTTTTCTCTTCCCCATTTTAGCCGATCGTTCTAATTTCTGAAATTAAGGCTAATAAAGTAATAGCAAGGGGTTGGGTATTTTTAGAATTAAAAAAAATAAATGAAAGTCAAACTTTTGTTAATCCCATCGCCGAGTCCGCTAAAGGGAAGGTAATTTTTTTTCTAAAATATGCTCAAAAGAGGTGTTCGTTAAGAGAGATATTTGAATATCTTAACAGTAAAATTTTTTAAATTAGTATCGAAGATTTTTGGATACAATTCCATAGATTATAGCAAAATGTGCAAATAAACTCTGGGCCTTTCCAAAATTATTAGCTTATCTGGTGCGGAGATTGTATGAAAAGGTTGTTCTTTTTCAAAACGCTAGTTCCTTAGAGTAATAATAATAACTAATATTTTCAAAACTTTCTTTTAACAAGCAAAAGCTAGTAATTAAAAAAATTGCGAAAAATATATTTTTACTTCGTGGAACTATAATTTTAATAAATTTAATAAAATTAATAATATTTTTATTTTTTTATTTTTTATGTCCACACACTCGAAAGGCATTACAGATGTTGGCTAATATGTTTATATATTTATTGGCTTTCTTATATTTAATGATTTTTTTCTTTTTTATCAACTGACGTCCGTCTGTCTTTAATTTTTGAATTATTCCCTCATCCCAAATCTTTACTCTCTTTACTGATTATTGAAATGCTTTAGTTATGACTCACTTATAAATGGATTCCGGGTTTTGTTACATTTCACCATTTACTTCAAGACAAATTTTAGCTGAAAGTGACACCACGATATCAGACTTCTTCTGGCAGTGATCGAACCAGCGGATCATGTTTCAACAACCAAGTTCTCCTTCACTGAGCCAACACCATTATCGTAATCTATGTATTGTTCACTCATTTTACTCTTTTATATGCGGAAGAAGTGGTAGTTTGTGGTATATGTCTTGAAGGTTTTCCAACAAACGGAGGGGCCTACAGTTTTTTTCTAAGCCGCCTCCGAGCGACCGATGGATTTTTATGATACGCTTTTTATTTCATGTCCGAAATACACTCGGAGCGACGGTAATTAGAAACTTCAGGATTCGAGCCTTCCGAATGACACTACACAATGCTAACCACTCGGCTATCGCGGTAATAAAGATATTTGAAAATGCGTTGAAATCGTCTAGAACTTGAGGAACCAAAAAATAAAAATAAAAAATAAATAAATGTAAAGAATTTTTCAATGGGCTTCCAACATAGTATTATGGACTTCCTATTGGATTCAACTCCGATTCTGATGGAATTCGGGTATCAGAACATAACAGAATATCTTTATTAACTACCTATTTCCCGAAATTCAGCGTTCGTTTTAAATCATTCCAATTCTACGAAAGACAGGTGCTCAGACCGCTTGGGCTTTTGTTTCTCTCCACTATCAGAAAGTAAAGAGATTTCTACCTGTAGGAAAATGTTTGAGTTAATTTTAGGCGAAATTGAAAAGAGTAAAATATAAATAAAAAATATTTTTTTATTGAAATCCGTACCACTGTCTGATTTTTGTCCAGATCTATTTTTATTGTAAAATATTTTTATTTCTTTTGAATAATCGCTTGGGAATTCTAACATGTGGTTTAATCTTTAAATATATGTAGTATATATTTGTGTTCGTTTTTAATAGCTTTTAATACGCATGCGTAAATAATTTTAATTCAGAATTAATTATAAAAATATAAAAAAAAACAAAAAATTAAAAAAGTAGCAAAACAACGAAAATAAAAATATTTATTAATTAAAAACAAAAAAGTTGCTAACACATCTATAGCATGTTCGATGACAAGCAAAAAAATGTGGGAGTGTCGAAAGAGACGTTTGCCATAACGAATTTTGAGGTGTTCAAATGCATGATCTCGGTAATATGCAAAATGAATGTACGTATAAAAGAGATAATAATAATAATAATGATAATGAAATGATGTAATAAAACTTGAGTTGAGTCATCCTTTACATATAAATTTAAGTGTAAATAACAACTAGACAGGAAACAGGTTGGGAAGCTTTATAATGCACAAGGCACCGTGTCTCATTACTTATTGTCATAATTAACTTTAATACAACAAAAAAGTGAAATGAAAAATTAATTTAAAAAATAACGAAACTCTTTGTTATTTTGGTGGCTCCCATCGAAGCTAAGCATATGGGAAATATTCTCTGTTCTAATTAATAATTTTTTTAACGTATACTGGATTTTTTCCAACACCTCGTCAGCTAAGAATTTTAAAATAATTTTAATAAAATATTTCATTCCTTAATTTTTATTTATTTTATTAAAGCATGATTTGAATACTTATGAAATATAATAGATTATCTATCAAAATTTTAAAAAATTTGGTTTTGTTAAATCAGTCCCGGATAGAAACTAATAAAAAAAATAATAATTTCTATATTTGGCAAAGTTTTTTGGTTCGCTTTTAATTTATTTTTATTTTTTATTTTATTTAATTTTTTTTTTTGTTTACAACCTTCCTTTAACAGACTCTTTAATTTTGAGCGATATTTGAAGCCAATAAAAATATGAGTCGAGTATTTAATATTCAGTTCCACCCAATCTTAAAATTCCTTACGTGTTTTTTTTTTTTTTGTATATTCTTGAGCAACAGTGAATGTGTGTGTTGCACATAAGAACCCTTTGCTTTCGAAGAATCTGTATTCAGTTCTTCTGCAATAGAGAAAAATCACCGTTTATATAAAAACGTCTCTCTTTTAGTATTTGCAATACATTCTTTTCAAATAAAATTCCAATTTTTATTTGTCTCAAAGCAATTTTTATTCATACATTTTTTGTTTTCCGACCAAGAGTTAAGGTATTAAATTAATATATAATAAAAAAAATTTAAACATTAGAGAGTGCAACGAAAAAAATTAATAAATTAAAAATCAAAATATATAATATTTTTGGCTAAAAATTTAAATATTAGTAAATATTATTATTTTTGTCGCTGAAATTATATATTTTTTTTCTTAAAATTATCACAAAAAGATATTCAAATAAAGGGAATGTAATAAAATATGTCCGCCTAAAATTAATATTAATTAAAATAAAGTTTAAATGATTTAATTTTCAATAACAGTCAAGACATTTTTACCAAAAAAAGTATTAAATAAAATTTAAATTATTTCTATTAACAAGCTGTAAACATTAACAATAACTTGAGGTAAAAGTATTCATCAGCAATTCATGCATGTATGGATGTAAGTGTACATGTTGATTTTGAGATATCTGTACAAGCTATTTCCTATTCATATTCAAAATCTGTTAGTTAACAGACACTTAACATAAGAAGAGCAGAAAGAGAATTTTCCCACTTGCTCACTGTTAAGCCAAATGTATGTAAACAAACATGCAAGCGTAATGTGCTTAGCGCCATCTACATTCAATAAGTGTAAAATTGCCGATTACAGCTGCTTCTTTGGTGAGAAATACAAATACAAACACACGCACGAATTAAAAGAGCTCTGCGTTGGCTGAGTGTGCTAACGAGCTCTGACGGCTTGTAGGTTATTTTGCGTCTCAGGTTCGATTCTCGCAGCGAGTGAATTCTTAGATTTCTTAAGTAAAAATAATTTTCGAAATAATAATAAGCACTCGCCGCAAATACAGTTAACATTAAATGCGATTTATACTGGCATAATGTACCAACTGGATTTCATTTGAAATCTATTAATGGATGGCTCATTTCCGCATAGATCGCAGATTAAATGGTTTATTCTCTCAATTGCTACGTTTAGTTCATAAATGATAGTGTTCATGAGAATTTTCCAACATTTTTATTGCTTTTTTTGTTTTACGTTAAGATTAACTATATATTAGTATAATAGATTAAATTTTAACAAAAATTAAAAATTAAATAATTTCAAATTAATTAAATACGAATATATGGAAAAATAGAAACGATGTTAAACATTTTTTTTAAAGCAATAACACAAAATAAAATAAATTAAATATATAGTAAAGCAAGTTATGACAAACTTAAGTAAGGATAAAAAATATAACAAAATAAACTAAATATTAAAATATAAGTTAAATTAAATATAAAAACCATGAAACAAAGTTAAACAAAATAAAAAATGAAATAATGTTAAATCAAATAAAACCATATGTAATAAAATAATATAAAATAAAACAAAGCAGGATAAAAAATATATATAAATAATAAATGTCTTTACAAAAATTAAAAAATTAAATTACATATAGTTAAATAAAAAATAATAATGTAAAATAAAATAAAATAAAATAAAATAAAATAAAATAAAATAAAATAAAATAAAATAAAATAAAATAAAATAAAATAAAATAAAATAAAATTAAATTAAATTATATTCAATTAAAATAAATTAAATTAAATTAAATTAAATAAAATAAAATAAAATAAAGTAAAATAAAATAAAATTAATTAAAATAAAAATAAATTAGTTTAGTTTATTCAACTTATTTTTAATGGCTTTGTAACCGCTGAAATGATTTTTGGCGTTGCTCCTCCTCCAATTTATTTGAATTAATTTAGATCATTCAATTTAACTTTTAAATAAGCAAATTAAGTTTAATATGCATATTTACGTGGATTTGATTTTATTTCTTATTTTCCAGCTACCACCAATTTTGTGGGGAAATTTACCCAAAGCGTACGTCGGATCGTACAAGATGTCAAGGATGAAGGAGCGCCAAGTAAGCAAATTGTTGTTTTATATTTAAATTTACTTAAATTTGCAAACCATTTCGCAGGTGGCATGACACGAGACGAGGTAATCGATACCAATGAACGTTTAAGAGCGTTACGTTTACGGCTGGAAGAGTCATATGAAACTGCTAAAAAATCGTTAATAACACTAATGAATAAATATGGCGACTCGAAGAGCCAACGTAATGTGTTTCAGCGTTATCCGATGCTAAAAATGATGATCAAAGTAAGTAAATTGCTGTAATGTGTTAATATAAAAATAATAAAAAATAGTGAAAAAGATGTAAATGAAAACATTGAAAAAAGAAAAAAATATATTTCTTTGTAAGTTATAAACAAACATTAGGATTACCCCATTCTATTTTGCTCTCTAGGACGTCATACGCTTGGAAACGCAATATTGGACCTTGATTGACATACCCCGACAGGAGAAGCAAGAAACTGTGCCCTCATACGTGCTGCGTGCCTGTGCGATTATGGAGAAAACACAAAAATCAGGTGAAGGTGTGAAGACTTCGGCCAAATTGGCAGAGGAGGCAGCGGAGAAGCGCGAGCGCATGGAGCGCTTAGAGTGTGAGTGAAATTTTATAAATATTTTTTCCAATAAAAGTAATTGTTTTGTGATTTTTTTCTTTCAAGTCATGACCACTGCACAAATCGAACTCGAGAATACACAACTTATAAATGATTTATATCGACTGCTGAAAAAATACTTGGGCTTGCGGCATTTAATTCGAGTACTCAAGGTGAGCGAGTAAAATAAGTATTTACTTTTTTCTTGACTTGTTTCAAAAAATAACTGTAAAAAAATATTCACATATAAAAATAGTAAAATTTTCATGAAGTAGAAAGGGAAAATATTGAATAGGGGTTGCCATATGTAAACTAAGAAAATTAAAAAGAATAATGAGTACCACAAAAATCATAAATAAAAAAGAAAAGAAATTTAAGTGCCTTTATATAAGTTTTTTTTAAATTTATTTATGATCTGGTTAATACTAGTTAAAAAGTATAAATAAGCTTAAATATTTAAAATAATTTTATTACTATTAAAAATATTTGTTTTCTCTTTGAAAAAAATAGCAATAAGTTAGGAAAACAAATTGAAAAAAAAAATGTTTTAAAAAATTAAAATTGCAGAATTCAAAAATCAATATAAAAAATATAAAAGCTTTTAATTGAAAATTTTATTCAAAAAATTTGAACGTAACAAATCTTTTGCTTCATTGTCGATCTGCCCCCTTGGAACGAATTCATAATAACCAAACCGCGAATATCAAAAAAACTTTCTGTTTATACAAATGAAGACGAATTAGCGAATTCTTGATGAATAGATTGCCGTCAGAAAGTTTCCTTTTTGGGTTAAGTTTAGAAAAGAGTTGCCACCACTCTGGAAATATTACTTAATAAATATGCAACTAATATATAAAAATTAATATTAACAGGTTTCGATTGAAAGATTTAATGCAGAAGATTTGAGAATAACAAACAATTTAATAGACGATTTTTCAACATCATAAAATTTTGATTTTTTTTATCCGAACCGGAACTTTGCTTTCCAATTCAAATTTATTCGTTTCTTTAAAAACAGTCTTTAATCTTTTTTTATCACTTTTTTACACTTTCAGGAGGATTATGGCAGCTCTAAAATGTATCCGATTTTCCCGCGCTACACCATGCTCAAGGACATGATAAAGGGCATAATGCACGATCCGGACTACATGGAAGTTTGCCATGAAATTAATAACTGAAATTAGACACCAACCGAGTAAAAAGCTCAGAGTGAAGAAATAAAAATAAATAAAAAAATAAAATTGAAAATTAAAGGAAAACAACAAAAATTATTGAGTAAACATTTGTAAGCGAAATAAATGGTAAAGCAACAACAACATGAAAAGCATTAAACAAAACAAATATAATCAAATTACATAATCAGTACAGCGTTTATAGCGATTTGTAAGACATATGTAGTTTAATTAAGTTAAAGTAATTGTGTAACAAATATACATGCATAGATACATACATACAAATATTTATATATAAATATTAAATTACATTAAAAGGCTTTAAATTAGCAGTTCACTAGCCAAATTAAGTTCTTACAAAGTAAACAATTTATGTATGTATGTATATGCAGGCAGGCACACAAGTAAGCAAGCAAAACGGACAAACTTAACAAGAATTTAAACTATTTTCAATTGTACCTACCCACATACATACGAATACATATACATTTGTATTTATATGACACACTAACAACTGCTGTGTGTGCGTGTGTATGTGTTGTTTTTTATTAGAAATTTATGAGCCACATTTAATTCACTGCGAAAACTCAAATGCAAAGGATTACATACATAGATACATACATATATGTATATATGTAATGGCTTTAAGGCTGAAATATTTTAGTAGCGAGTTTTGAACAGCATTAAACGAAGACAAAATGCCACAAAATTCAAGCATTCGTACATATGTCTATGTATATATATACATATATATATTTGAGTGCAGCATACTAAAGGTAACTACTTCCAAACAACAACAAATTATACCACCGAACAAATAACTACATACATTCATACATATATACATATATATACACGAGTACCGTAAGAAGGATATTATCAATGACTTATTTACACACACACACACACACACGCACGCTCAGAGAACACGTAGAGCACACACACACACACATATCCATACAACCGTAAATAATCCGGCTGTTGTACACTGAGCTTACATAGCGCTGGCAAACAGTTCAAATATGAAAACGGTAAATATCAAAAAAAACACTTTTACAACTATAAATGTGCGCTTAAATTGCTTTCTTAGGAATATACTACAACTACAACAAAATTACATATAAACATACATGCATTTCCTATAACAATAAAACTTTGTTTAAGATAGCTGAGAGAACCTGCATAAGGGGTTGGCAAATAAAAAATACATATGTACACACATACATACAAATATGTATGTATTATATGTACATGTGACAGAAACACACAAAAAGTTTTATACCAAACAAAAAAAATATATATATATTATATGTAACAATTAAATTTATATAAAAATTTTTATAACATTGCAGATATAAACATTAATATTATATATACACATACACAACTACGTACATACATACCGAAATTTAATTTGATAATTCTTAAACTTAAGGATATGTTTATGCTTCGCAGTACTTAAAAAGGCGAAAAAAACGCAATAAACTTGAATATAAAATTGAAAAAAAAAAAAAAACAAAAATCAAAATTAAACTAGAAAAAAATTAAAAAAAAAGTAATTAAAATTTTATAATTTTTTTTAACTTTTTTATTATTTATTTTTGGGAAAAATTTTTCAAATGCTACATTCTTACATATATACAACACAAAGTAATACACATACACTGAATATACATACATACATATACACCTGGATGTTTTAGATAAATAAATGCATTTAAAATGTGAAAAATAATAAATAAACAAATAAACTCATATATACATATATATATATAACTACCTACTTACGTACACACAAATATGTACAAATAAATATCATAAATTATAGTTAGACAATATGCGGGAAATCTTCCCGAAAATATACATATACAGACATCTAATCAAAATAAAAAATATCAAAATTTGTAGTTTAGAAAATTTTGAGTTTCAGTGCAGCTTGTCTCTGAGAACTGAGTTCGTATTAGCGACTCTAGTAAATAAATTAAATAAATCTCGAGTCACTCCGTCATCTCAAACTCGCATATAAATCGCCAATGCCACAGGTTTCTTAAAACTTGATTGGTGTTGCTGGACTTAGAAAAATATTATTATTAAATACGCTTATTATTTTTACATTTGAAAAAACCACTTTAAATCACTTTAGAACTTCCTCGTAGGAAATCAAAACAAAAAAGCAAGTAAAAAAGATTTATTTCCCGTGGAAGAGAAAATAAGATACTCGGTTCATATCGTGAGCTGATTTATTTGGACCACAGATTAGTCAAAAATATAAGGTTGTATGGGAGGTAAGTCCATCTCTGCTTTCAATATTCGATTTTGGGTCAAACGGGGGATGGAAAGTAAAAAATAAACCGACCCAATTGTTGCCCAGTTAAGCCCACTTTTAGATTGGTATTCACATAATACCATTGGATTTGTAATCAGCAATTCTTATTGGATTCAGAACACTGTTAAGTGGTTTCTGAGACATACTTTTTGTCCCTAACGGCCCGCCCGAACAAATATGACTTTGTTTGCACAAACTCATATAGGTAAATCAGTAGATATAAATATAACTTGCGTTATGATGTACACAGACGATCGGACCGAGACACCGGCATAGCTTCATCGATTCGCCTCGCTATTGCATGAAGTTTTATAAATAAATGTAAATTTTTAACTCCATATTTTACGACTTATAAAAGTTAGCTGAACAACCCTAATACTTCGCTTCTTGTGATAATTTAATTCCTTAAAGGACCATTTCTTGCGATTTCTAGCTTCAAGTTATTGGTATTGCTGCAATTGAAACTCAGTTCTCTTCAGATCTTTGAATATTAGGTTTGGTAAAAGTAGCTGGTCGCTAGAGGTTGCCACTTAGTTACTAAATACATGCCCGTTGCTTCCATGACCATCCACTGCCTTCCTTAGGGCTGCAAGATACCGCAAATACACTTACGGAAATATTAAACCAGCGTTCCCTGTGTATCGACCGCTTCATTGACAGCAGTATTCTCCGCGCTGAAAGCCCAAACTCCCCGCCGATTCATAATTTCAGACAGAAGACCGTCTCATCAGCCATATACTCAATATTCAACCCCATCGTAAAGGGGATAAGTGGTCAAACGTTTTTTTTTCTTCCAGATTTCCTTCGAATGCATTGGGTTGAAAATTAAGCTACATGTTATTACCTTGGAGATACAATAATTCAACCAAGGAACCGACCTTTTTGAGTCGACTAACGACTTTTGTAGTAGTAGGGAAGAGCTTGCTAATTAGCAAATGTAGCTCTTTCCAGCGGCTTCTACCATAGGAAAACTCCATAAAACAAAATAGGCTTGACTATAGGTATGTAGCTATAGTACACAACTTGAGAAGGAATGCCTCATCGTTGACCGAAAACGTCTCTACAATAATATCCTTATTCTTTCTCACCTCGTTGTTTGCTATCCGGAAAAGGTTTCTGCCGCGAATTATTTCTGAACTTTTTATCTCTTCGGTCAAATGAAGCAGAGGGCGTAACTGCCGAAATACTGCGCACCTTCATTTGCTTTGTGAATATGCGGTACCATCAATCTGACGTTTACATTCTACGAAAAGAAGAAAAAGCCAAAATAAAATGCATAAAAAATTTTGTAATGTCCCGTGGGACATGAAAGGTGCAACGTGCAAAAAAATATGTATGCCGATATGATCATAATAATGAGCTGAGATTATTTAGCCATGTCCGTTTGTTTGTACGCAAACTAGTCCCTCTGTTTTTGAGAAATTTCTAAAAAATCTAGGAAGGTAGATAGGATCACTATATCAAATAACCCCATACAACCGATGTGTTCAGACTTGTTTTTGGATAAAAAATCACTCGAAGAACTTTGAAACTTTGTACCCAACATATGAATTTGCGAAAAAACATTTACACCAAAAACAATCGAAATTGGTAGACTATTTCACATAGCTCGCCTCCAACTGATTTTTCTGATATGAAGATTTATATTTAAACCTAAAATTCGATAGATTTAAATTTTTTGATCATTAGAGGTATAAAGATTTCAGCTTTTGACGAAGGCACGTCTACTTTCTTGGTTATTGGCCTCTTAACCCAACATAAAGTATATAAAAAAATTAATTAGTTAAAATTCAACTAGTCTAGCTGAAGTTTAATATGAAATTGAAAACCAAGCATTGTACAAAACCAAACATACATATATAAGTATTAAATGATTTATATGGGCTTGTATCAAAAAATAGTATTAAAAAAGAGTTATAGTAAATACAATATAATAAAATAACAATATTTCTAATCGAACTGTGTGCATAATAAATAAGTAAAAAAAAATTATACGCTTAATTAAAAAAAAAAACGCAGAGTTTTGATATGTCGCGATTTTGCAAAAAAATAAAAACAAGAATTAGTTAAAAACATAAAATTACTCATACATATACATTTAGTTGTTCGACATTGTTTACATTGAATAGATAATTGAAAATATTAAAAGAAAAATAAGATTAAGTCCTTATAAACTTTCATTTGAATAAAAGCAAAAAAAAAAAATAAAAATAATAATATAGAAATTCAATTCTTTTATAATAAAGTGAGAAAAAAATGTTAAAATATCTATTAGATTGCTTTAAGTAAATATAATAATTTTAATTTGCAAAGAAATAAAGATTAGGCTTAATTGTTGAGGCGTACTTGTAGCAGATAATTTATTTAAATAAAGTACGCTTGCTTTTAATATTTATTATTAATTAGTATGGGAAATTTTTCGCATTTCGCTTGTATTAATTTAATTCAAAATTTTGGGTTTTTTATATTTTTATTTAAATTCTCATAAACTCGAATGGTTTTTTTAAGAATTTTAAGAAGCCTGCAATAAGAAAATATTTATTTTTATTTATTTATTTTCATTTTTTGAATCCGAATTCTGTCATTTTGTCAGAAAATATCACATTTTTTGACAATCTGGGTATCTCAGCTTCAAATACAAGAAATATAATTGGTGGTACAAATTAGTTCTTTCCGTTCTTAAAAGATGGGTTCAAAATTGGCGAGCCTCAAAGGCAAAGTCTG